TTGAGATAGAGTCTCTGTCACCCAGGCTGTAGTACAGTGGCATGATCTCAGCTCACTGCAACCTACACCTCCTGCATTCAAGTGATTCTCGTGCCTCAGTCTCCTGAGAAGCTCGGATCACAGGCGCCTGCCAACACTCCCAGCTAATTTTTGTATTTTTAGTAGAGACTGGGTTTCACCATGTTGGCCAGCCTGGTCTCAAACTCCTGGTCTCACTGATCCACCCACCTCGGCCTCCCAAAGTGCTGGGGTTGTTGGCAGGAGCCCGGCCTAGAAGGATCTAAAACCTTTACCGTACAATACGTAAAAAGCAGGAGCACTTTCACTTGTGGATGCGAAGTGTGAGACAGCAGATGAAAATACTCGTGGGGTAAGACTGGACAAAGTGTTACATGAAAGATCAGGCTTTTTTGATAATTTAAAAATTCTCTGTCATAGAAGTGATAGAACTGGCTGGGCGCGGTGGCTCACTCCTATAATCCCAGCACTTTGGGAGGCCAAGGCAGGCAGATCATCTGAGATCAGGAGTTTGAGACCAGCCTGACCCAACATGGTGAAACCCCATCTCTACTAAAAATACAAAGTTACCTGGTTGTGGCGGCGCATACCTGTAATTCCTGCTACTCAGGTGGCTGAGGCAGGAGAATTGCTTGAACCCGTGAGGCGGAGGTTGCATAAACTGAGATTGCACCACTGCACTCCAGCCTAGACAACAAGAGTGAAACTCTGTGTGGAAAAAAAAAAAAGAAAAAGAAATCTACTTTCCTTCCTTCATCACTTTGAAAATTTATAAAAGTAAACACACATGCAAAATGCTTTAGCCTGCATCCTCCCTTAGAGAAAAGAAATATTTCTAATAGCAACATTTTTGAAGACATTATTTTCTTCTTCTTTGGATCACTCTACTCTTAAATTGTATTAGTGTGTTGGGTAATCATATCCCTTGGGTATTATTTAAAGATTAGCAACACTTCAGCTTTATGAATCATATTTAGGCGAAAGCCAAGTATCTAGAGGATGAGAGAGATTGGTTGTGTTTTGTTTTAACCACTAGAGATCCGTACTTAAGATCTTGTCCAACTACTATGTAAAAGAAACGGGCCTTTCTCATTCCTCTGTCTTTAAGTGATGGAGAAATAAGAAAAGGCATCCGGGTGCGGTGGCTCATGCCTGTAATCACAGCACTTTTCGAGGTCGAGGCAGGTGTTTGACTTGAGGTCAGGAGTTCAAGACTAGCCTGGCCAACAACGTGAAACCTGTCTCTACTAAAAATACACAAAAAAGTTAGCTGGGCACGGTGGCACATGCTTGTAGTCCCAGCTACTCAGAAGCTGAGGCTGGAGAATTGCTTGAACCCGGGAGGCAAAGTCTGCAGTGAGCCGAGATTGCACCACTGCATTCCAGCCTGCGTGACAGAGTGAGACTTTATCTCAAAAAATCTAAAAAAAGAAAGAAAAAAAAAAGGAAAAGTTACATTCCAGGAGCTGATATCAATTTTTAAATGAAAAGTCTCAGAATTTAATCACAAATACCCAATATGTCACTTCCAAGCTTATAAGATAAATAAGTCCTTGTATAGTTTCAGTCATTTGCATAGCATAGAACTTAGCAAAAGTGTAGATATGTGATTTTGAAAAGCTATATGATTCCTGATACGTCTAAAGTTTCCAGGGATGTCTAATCTTTTGGCTTCCCTGGGCCACCCTGGAAGAATTGTCTTGGGCCACATATAAAATACACTAACACTAATGATAGCTGATGAGCTAAAATTTTCATAACGTTTTCAGAAAGTTTATGAATTTGTGTTGGGCTGCATTGAAAGCTATCCCAGGCTGCAGGCTGCCCACAGGCTGTGGTTTAGACAGACTTGGTGTAAACCATCTCACAGATTTCAACAAGTATAATGAGCCATGTAAGAGGAAGTTAAAATCAAGGAAACAAACTCTTTGAAAATCTCTAGCTCAAGATGGCAGGTGGTTCACACAACACCGATCTCTATTTGCAGCTGAAACTCCATGCAAAGTAAGAAAATGATATGTTAAAAGGAAATAAGATCATAAGACTTAAAAGGGTACCACGAACCACATGCAAGAAGTTTGTGGAAGAGAGAGGCAAGTAGGGTTGGATTCAGTAACCACGGCAGAGAAATAACACCTCAAAATAACAGAAGCCTGAGATGAGGAAGAACCATTTCTTCTTCGTGGACCCTAGATCAGCCCAAAGCTCACAGTCAACAAATACCAAAAGCAGGAATGGATGAAGACTGAGTCTCTGAAACAGCAAAGGCTGTCCACCGGCAGCTAGGTCAGCTGACTTTATTCACATGCAGTGTTGCTTTCTGATTATTGCTGTTATTATTTTTGGAGACAGGGTCTTGCTCTCTCGCCCAGGCTAGAGTGCAGTGATGTGATCATGACTTATTGCAGCCTTGATCTCCCAGGCTCAAGCAATCTTCCCACCTCAGCCTCCTGAGCAGCTGGGACTGCAAGGACGTGCCACCATGCTTGGCTAATTTTTAAGTTGTTTTACAGAAACGGGGTCTCACTATGCCGCCCAAGCTGGTCTTAAGCTCCTGGGCTCAAGCGATCCTCCTGCCTTGGCCTTCTGATTTGTATGTATAGTAGGCTAAGGTTTACTACCTGCAAAGTTAACTTTTGGTCCTTTTAACTACTGTTTTTTAATTACAAGCAATTAAAATTATAAGTAATTAAAAACAATACTTTTTTACATTTGAGACAAGGTCTGGCTCTATCGCCCAGGCTGGAGTACAGTGGCACCATCTCAGCTCACTGCAACCTCTGCCTCCCAGGCTCAAGCCTTCTTCCCAAAAGAGCCTCCCAAGCAGCTGAGACTACAGGCACATGCCACAATGCCTGGCTAATTTTTGTTTTTGTTTGTTTGTATTTTGAGACGGACTCTTGTTCTATCACCCAGGCTACAGTGCAGTGGTGCTATCTCAGCTCACTGCAGCCTCTGCCTCCTGCGTTCAAGAGACTCTCCTGCATCAGCCTTCTATGTAGCTGGGACTACAGGCACATGCCACCATGCACAGCTAATTTTTTTATCTTTTTAGTAGAGGCAGGATTTCACCATGGTGGCCAGACTGGTCTTGAACTCCTGACCTCAGATGATCCACCCACCTCGGCCTCCCAAAGTGCTAGGATTACAGGCATGAGTCACAACACCCGACCTTAATTTTTGTATTTTTTGTAGAGAGAGTTTCACCATGTTGCTTAGGCTGGTCTCGAGCTCATGAGCTCAAGTAATCAGCCCACTTCCCCCTCCCAAAGTGCTAGGATTACAAGTGTGAGCCACCAGGTTTAGCCAAAAACAGCACAATGTTAAAACACAACTTAAAACCCACACTCTCATACACACACACACACACACACACACATACACACACACACACACACTGGTAGCCAATTTTTCAGTTAGTTAAATATATTGACTTTGTAGGATATAAATAAAATGAGTATCATGATATGGTTCAGTTCTGTGTCTCTACCAAGTCTCATGTTGAACTGTAATTCCCAGTGTTGGAGGTGGGGCCTGGTGGGAGGTGACAGGATCACCTGCGTGGCCCTTCATAAAAGGCTTAGCACCATCCCCTTGGTGCTGCTGTCATGCTAGCGAGTGTGTGAGTCATGCT